GGGGACATATTTTGGATTCAACAAATTGGCTCTTTCTAATGATTTTAGAAAAATCATTAGAAAGCTGAGACTTGATGAGTGTTCCTGCCCCTGTGCTCATGCAGGTGCTTACAGGGATCCAGGAGGATGTCGAGACCACGAGCCAGGTGTCATCTGTATGGGGGTTGGCAGGAATGTGGGTCACCAGGTCTCTGCCCACCATGGGTCATCTGATGGGGGATGAAGGTGGAGCAGCACACGGAGCTCTTCCTAAACTCGGGGCACTCACAGGGCTTCCCTTACTGGTGGCAGCGTTGGTGTCGGGTCAAATGAGAATTCCGGCTGAAGCACTTGCCACACTGGGAACACTCGTAGGGCCTCTCCCCAGTGTGGATGCGCTGGTGGGTGATGAGGTTTGAGTTTTGCTTGAAGCCCTTCCCACAGTCTGGGCAGCAGAAGGGCCTCTCCTCTGTGTGAATACGCTGGTGTTTGAGAAGATTGGAGCTGTTCTGAAACCTCTTCCCACATTCAGAACACTCATAGGGCCTCTCCCCTGTGTGGATGCGCTCGTGGCGGATCAGTTCAGAGCTACACCTGAAGCCCCTCCCACATTCCCCACACTCGTAGGGCCATTCCCCAGTGTGGATCAGCCGGTGACGGATCAGATCATTGCTCCGGCTGAAGCTCTTCCAACACTCCAAGCACTTGTAGGGCTTCTCCCCAGCGTGAAGCTGCTCAGGAACTGCCAGCTGCAGGCCCCGGCTGAAGCTCTGGGTGCCTTCCTGGCACAGGGTGGGTCTTTCCCTCTCAGAGCATCCTGGGCTGGGTGTGGAGCCCCTCTTTTTGTGGGATATCTGGGGCTTTTCCTTCTCATTAGATTCCGGCACTGTGCAGTCTGTCAAAATGGCCTCTTCCACGAGGTTCTGCTGGGGGGATTTGTCCTCCTTGGTCTCCATCCTCAGCTCATTGCCTGGGGGGCAAGAAGGACAAGGAGAGGATGGGATTTGCCTCTGTGCCAGACAAAAGGGGAAGGAGATCCCCCCCAATCCATCACCAGCAGGACAGCATCGGCAGCGGGGTTTTCCTGCAGCCGGGGACAATGCTGGGCTGGGAAATGGAGCAGAAGAGAGGGGCAAAGGAGCTGTGACTTCCTCCTTACCTGCCTGGGGGTCCTGGGACATCTTCCTCTTCCTCGCAGCCTCCTTCTCTATCCAGCCAATTTTTGGGAATGGGAAATCCTGGGTTGGGGAAAAACAAGGGATGAGTGCATTGGGTTGTGCATTAATCCTGCCCAAGCCACCAGGTACCAGGTACACACAAAAACCTCCAAAAAGCCAAGATTCAGCCCAAAAAAGCTTTCCTAAGGGCTTCCTCTCTCCAGTCTCCCCTCTCTGAGCTATTCTACCTGTTTCTGGACCTCCCTAGACTGGTGGGGGTCCTCAGAATTCCCGAAGTTCTCCCTCTCTGGTCTCCCCACTTTGGGGTCCTGTGGGTCCCACTTGGGGATGTCAGGGTTTTGGACTACTCATTGGTCACTTCTCCCATCAGTGCTTCAAGGTG